ACAGGTTCCTGAAGCGGCCTCCCAGTTACCCCATTCACTCATATGTGACCCAGAAAAGCACTCATCTCTGGTCCTTCCCTCCCTCACCGGTGGGTCACAATAAGAGCTCTCATGTCAAGTATGCAAGCTGCTCATGGTCTGGAGCGGGACACCAACCCAGATCAAGGGAGGCTACACATGAATATTTTTACCACAACACAGATAGCTGCTCTGAAGGGGAGGACACTGGTTCTGATCCCTCACCTGGCAGGTGGGCTCCAAGAAGAGCCTACAGAGGAAGGACAAAGAAGGGTGAGGATAGGGAAAGTGTTCCAAGGGAAGGGCATGTCCAAAGGTCCTGAGGCAGAGGAACCTCCTGCCTGCAGGAAATAGAAACTAGTGGGAGTTTTGAGCTTGAGAGCATGGAGCAGAAGCAGGGACTAGAAAGACAGGCAGAGCCTCAAGAGCCACAGCATGGGCAGGGGAGCGCTGAAGGGGCTTCCACAGGCAAGATGGGAACCTGACAGATTTATTAGTGGAAAAGATCCCTGTGCTTGCCAAGTGGAAAATGGCACAAGGGAACATGGGCTGAAGGTGGGTGAGCAGTCAGAAAGCTTCAGGCTGGAGGCCTTGAGGCAGGGTGTGGGGAGATGAACGTGAAGGGAATAAGAAAGAGTCCAGAGGTGGTCATGCGGTAAAATGATGATCTAATCCATTAGAATCAGCATGAGCTTTTGCTGTGTGCTTGTGGCCACCTGTGATCACTTCTGTGATCAAGTCTTGGGCGGGTGGGGGGTGGCTCTGGTTAGCAGGTGTTTGGTCTGTGATTTTCATTCCTGGAGGAAGAGAGGGAAGCCAGGAGGTAACACCCTTAGGGTAGCTGGGGTGGGGACAATAGTCCCTGCTCCACTGTTCATGGGTCATCTTCACATGTTAGTGTGACTGAAAGTGGGTCCTGGCCCAGTGACCCCTGAGCTGAGGGACAAGCTGCCCTGGAAGTCCCTGAGAAGAGCCCTATCTCCATCTCACTAAATGCCACAACAGGACTCCATGAGCCTTGTGTCAGGTGGGACCCCGGCTGGGCTCTCAACTGTGGCCACCAGGTGAATTTCCTTCCCAGGGATAGCGGGTGGCATCAGCACTGCATCAGGGCCCAAAGAGGAAGAGACAAAGCAGAGACAGACATGAGACCAGAGGCCATGGGAGATATGGGCAGTGGAGTGGATGGAGGTGGGGCTTGCCCAACTTGGAGCCCACTGGCACTTCTTTGTTGTGGGAGGTCAAATGACCATGGCAGACAGAAGTCACCACACACAGATACACTCCGGCCTGCAGCCTCGGGATGCTATTGGCTCTGACCTGACACAGCACGGTGTTCCTGGTAACAACATGCAAATCAGAGACCCAGGCCAACGGCCTCAGACCTGAACTGGCCACTGAGGAAGAGAAGAGGGCAAATTTTGAGGCAGCTGCCTCAGCACACCTGCTCTGACACCTGTGTTACTTTGTGAAGGCTGCCAGTTCCTGCCTTCTGCCTGGCCAACTCCTGCTGGCACCTCCATGCCTACCCTAGTATGATCTCCTTTGGGATGGCTCCTATTCTGGGGTCCAAGCAGCCCCTTCCTCCCATACCACCTACCAACACATAATCCTTCTTGTGTAACTTGTATTCCCCCTGGAATACACATGGGGTTCATCTTGTCCCAGTTCCCTTCATCCCCTCACTTCCTCAGACTGGTATCTAGGAGAAGAAGAGCTGGGGACCAGGCCACTGGAGCTAGCACTGCCACCCCTCAGATGGGACTTTCTGCCTCTCCCACATAGCCCCTAGCCCCTACCGTC